CGCAGCCTACCTCCCTCACAAAAGCTTTGAACCTTAATATATATATATAAGCTTTTGCGCATATATACGTAAGACTTCAGCCTGTCAGCCTTTGTAAGTGTCAGCAGTTTCCCAATGGATGATCAAGACAGGCCAGGTGACCACATCGTGTTGCACATATATTTTCATTTGCTTAGACTCGATGTTTAGGTGATGATCTGGTCACATTGCATTGAATGATGCACGGACTCAGTTGTTTTGCAGCTTTGCCGAAGCAGCCTGACAGGTGGTGGGCAAGTTCTACAGATCTACTACTCAATCACCGAGGTCCGGATCTCAAGTCCAATGCGCGATCAACTTCGCTGCCAACCACTTCATGAGTGAGTGTCTGAAACTCTCATGATCACAACATGGGAGCTGACAAACTTCAAACTGAGTGATGGCCATCCAAGGGTGACGCCATCTTGTGAGTTGATCTGACCGACCAGGAAAACGCTCATAGACGCTCAGTGCTACCCCCAAAGCTATTCATGAAGTTTTCCAGGTGTCCGCAAAAGACCGTTAAACTATAGACTTCGGCTACAAAAGCGGACACCATGGACCTAGCCCATTCCGGAACCAAATTTAAGATGGACATGTTCAGGGCCCAGAACATGTATACACACGTGTGTCGGAATTTGAAGTCGAATTCGCTCTTTAACTGGCCGGCTGTCAAGTCGTTGTCGCATGCCTTGTTGTATTTTTGCAACCTCTTGCCATCGACCTTCTTCAGATAAAAGGATCTTGCATACAGCCTGGTTGTTGTGATGAGTGGCTCAACTCTGAGTGGACTGGGCGGCTGAGGTTCCAACACAACTCTGATCTACAGGCATATCGATGAGTTCGTCCCCTTTGGCAATATCCTGCAAGTTGTCCCAACCGGAATCCAATTGATCGGACTTGGCTTTTTGGTTCTTTCAGACATCTACTTGCGCCATTCATCACTGGAGGCTGCAATTCTAACTGCTCAATGTTCACCAGAGTGGATTTGGACTGCTCCTTTTGGCCGGTCGGGAGCTTAAAGCAATTGATGTGAAGAGATGTGAGGCCGGGTACAAGATGTGAGTGAACTGCATGGCCTGAGCATGTTGATTTTCTTTCAGACTAGTGACTAGTCTTAAAAGTCAGCCTTGGTGGTGAAACAAAAGGAGAGGTCTTCCATCTCGACAGTTTTCTTGGGTCCCCACGAATTTGGTAGGTCGAATTCAGCCCAGGGAGAACTGCCGAGAGGTGAGGTTGGTGATCTTTCTCATTTGTGCCTCTCCTGATGTACTTTGCATCTTCCACACCCCAGGATGTTGCGGCAGACCAGCCCTGCAAAAATAGAGTATGAAAGCATATCAAAGCTGTAGCCTAGCTATACAGTTTTGCATGTAGCCAGTGGGGTTCCCAAGAAGCTTCGCTTGAGGTGCGGAGGTGCTGGTGGGGTGTGCCGAAGACCTTCAGCGAAGACCTGGAGCCTGAGCTGGGGCCCAAGCTTTGCCCAGATTGATTGAGCGCTATCCATATCCATTGGCTGTCTTCGGCTTTATGTATTGCGACCCGAGTAACATCCTGAACTAGATGGATGGACAAAAAGGTCATATATGTTTGTTTATTCTCTTTACTGATTGGGAGAAGGGGTTCCAAGAGAGAAAGATACTCCAACGTGACTCAACTAGATGTCACTCGTCAGAACTCTGCTGGGCCGGCCCGTGCTCTAACATATGATGACGTACACATGACTCCACAACCTCCAGAGGTAGGGCCATCATGGGATCATCATGTGGACTGGAGCAGCAAAGCACCGCATCAAAGTTGTTCTGTCGAGGAAGATGGTTCCTGGAACTTTTGCCGTCGCCCAGAAGCAACACGCAAGCACCAGAACCGTTACAATCTTGGCACCCTTAGGCGCATTTGACATCCATCAAGGCGGCATTTCCGTGTAAAACCCAGGACTCAGGACGACTCCTGACTCTCAGATCGGACCTCCTCCTTTTGGAGAACACGCGCAGACACCACCGATCTGTGGCAGGGCCTCCTGCAGGCAGCATGGAGGAGGCGCGGCGAGAAAAGTGCAGGGACGTCTCCGTCGTTCTGGTGTCGTAACTTGATGTTTTTTGGGGAGGAATCTGAGCCTCTGAACCTGATGCCAAACAACGAACCCTCGCCGGCCTTGCCAGGATTTTGGTAGCTTCAGTAA